CCTCGGCCGCCTTGGAACGTTGGCCCCCCTTTCCCCGTGCGGCCCCCCTCCCCCCGGCCGCCCCGACCCAAGCCCCGCCCCCCACGCCCCGGCCGAGGAGGGCCGCCATCCTCGCCGCCGCGGTACGAGCCACGCCGCGCACCCCACGCTGGAGTCCCGCCGCCGCGCCACGCCCCCGCCGCGCCACGCCCCCGCCCTCACCACGCCCCACCCCGGCGCAGGCCACGCCCCCGCGTACCCTCAGCGGGTCCTCCAGGCTCACCCGCCGACCCACATCCCTCATCTGCATCCCACACGTGTTTCTGGTACCTACATCTTGCCCGGCATCCGCACCTGCATCCTCCTCCTGCTAGGTGCAGGAGGCTGCCCCCTACTCCAAACCAAGCACCCTCGCCCCGCGCCCTCTGCCCCGCCCACCCGCCAGCGACCGGAGGTCGCTCCAGGCTAAGCCCCGCGGTCCTTGGCGCGCGTGCGCTACCACCTGGCGGTCCTCGGCCGCCTGGCCTGGCGCTGTGCGCGTGGGCGTCGAGCACCTGGGCCTTCGCGTGCCGCCACCCGGGGACGCGGCCTTGCTGCCCTGGTGAAGTCCCAGCTCAGCCTGGCGGCTCCGGGACAGGGCACGGGGCCGCAGGAGACGCCCCCGCGGGCAACAGGCTATAAATAGCGGCGCCAGCCTGCTTGCAGGCAGACACAAATTAGCCAACAACTCCACGAATTCTAATATTTTAAAATAACTTGTTCCAGTGCGCTTAAGACTGCGCATAACCTGAAGTGTTGGGGAAGATGTCCCAGGGGGCAACTTGTTCCAGCCGGTCTTGGGGACCAGATGACAGGGTGTGGTCCGACTAGTTTGCTTGGCTAGGGGTAAGGGTTTTAATCAGTCTAACCCTCAGGGTTGAAAGAGACTCCTAGGACAGAAGACTACCCCCCCCCGTCCATTTGTCACAAGTCCGTGTGGACGGGCGTCGTGTTTCCCCTAGCTCCTCAGTGGGATCCAACAGCAGAAGATAGTAAATAATAGTATCTTTACTGATACTGAACTTTGGTGGCAATTTTGAAAATGATATAAAAATTCCCTTTTCGTGATGCATTTATTTGAGGAATGAGGCAAAATTTGAGTTTCTGGTGGTTTTGCAGTCCTCATGGAGAAGTCCGCGTTGTAAATCAAAGTTTGAATCTGCTTGTATGAGCAGCAATCCCCCCCTGCCCCCCCCCAAGAACGGACTTCTGTTCAGGTCTGATTTTAAGCCTATTCACTCTAAAGAGAAAGAAAACAAAGCTTGTAAAACCCTGTATGAATTATCTTTGCTTCGGAAGGTGGAGGTGAATGTATGTAGTTTGTGGGAGGGTTGGTTTATTTTGGTTGAGGCAGGGTCTCCTGTAGCCCTGTCTGGCATTGACAAGCTCCACCTGCCAACATCCCCTGTGTTTTGTGGTTGCAAGCCTGTACCACCATGCCTGATTTCAATACAGAAATACTACTCTGGAAGGTTTTGTTTTACTGTAGTTCTTATTCTCCAGGAGAAGCACATGAATAGCTTGTTTTTCTTCCATCACTGAAGCACTAAAAGACTTGTAGCCTCTTGGACAAAGTCTTTTATTGTATTCCAGTGAAAGGAAGGAACATGAGTGTACAAAGTATATGAATGTTGAAGATACAGTAAGTGAAATAAGCCTGTTATAGCAGTAACAGGTACTGTGTAATTCAACTTATAAGAGGGGCTTGGTAATTGTCATAGTAAAGTCAGGTTTGGTGGCTCATACTTATAATCCCATCATTGGAGAGGCAAAGGTAGAAGATTTGATGAGCGTTTGAGGCCTTCATGGGGCAAAGTTGGAGATCCTGTTTCCAAACAAAGATTTAATCATAGAAACATAGTGATAAGCACCTATAATTCCAGCACTTAGCCAGTGGAGGCAAGAAGGGTCAGAAGTTTAAGGCCAGTCTGGGCTACATGAGACACAGTCTCAAAAAACAAAACAAAAAATTGTTAAATTAATAAAAACAGAAAGTATAATGGTGGTTGCTAGGGTCTAGGAAAGTGGGTAGTTAGTAGTGGCTATGGAATTTCAGATTGAGACGATAAAGTTCTAGAAACAGGGTGACAGTTCCATAACAATGCGAGTGTACTTAATGCCACAGGAACTGTGTTCTTTAGGCAAATAAGATGATCACTTAAAGTTATGCATACTATATTACCATCGACATTTTAAATGATATTGTTAAAGATCAGCCAGACCAAGAAGACAACAGCTCCTTTCACCTGCCATAGTCCGTATTTTCTAGATGACAACTAAGATGTTAACTAGATGGTTTAATGTTTAGTTGTAAAAATTTGCTTCTCAGGCTGGAAAGATGACTCAATGGTTAAAAGCACTGGCCACTCTTGCAGAGGACCTGGGTTCAATTCCCATTACCCATGTGGCAGCTGACAACCATATGGAACTCCAGTTCCAGGGGATCCATCACCCTCTTCTGGCCTCTGTGGACACTGCATGCATGGGTGCACTTACATATATGCAGGCAAAACACTCATACACATCAAATAAGAATAAATAAATATTTTTTAAAAGTTTGCTACTCATTTGATTTCAAGAAAGATTATTTAGAATAGTTTTCAGGAGTAAATCTATGTATATGAACATAAACCCACAAGCCAAACTGACTAGAGAGGAATTCTCAATTGAGTCACATCCCTATGTCCTTGAAACATTTCTAGCACAGGAGGTACTCAGGGAACTGGCTCATACCCAGGGTATTCAGAGAGATCACCTCTCTCCATTAGCCCCTAGAGTTAAGATGTGCTTGTCCCAGGTGCCCCGCCCCCTGGTGGTCTATGTAGGAATTGCCTCTCAGGGTTGAGACACTCCAAATGAATGTTTTTGTGCTTTGTATATAATGGAAATTCTACAAATATTTGATCTGTCCTTCAGTGTTGCAGTTCAGAGCAAACGCAGTGATCTTGTGTTTGATCATGTAAGAATGGAATTTAAAGCCGGGTGTGGTGGTGCATGCCTTTAGTCCCAGAACTTGGGAGGCAGAGGCAGGCAGAGCTCTGTGAGTTCAAAGCCAGCCTGGTCTACATAGTGAGTTCCAGCACAACTGGGGCTACAGGGAGACCCTGTCTCAAAAAAGACCAAAAAAAAAAAAAGAATGGAATTTAATGGGTCTTTTCTTTAAGCACCAAGTTTATGATGTGTAAAAATCTTTTTGAGGGGTTTGTTTGCTTAAAAGTAGTGTGGATAGCAGTATTGTTCATTAGCTGCTTACAGTAATTGACAGTGCACAGTATTTTATTTGTGAGTTATAAATATCTTTACTAGCACATTTGTAAGCAAGACCTTGAGCTGGTGTTGGGGGAGGTGAAGATGTCTCACTTTCTCCACTTAAAGCATTCTTTGTCCTTAGCTCTAATCTTTGTACCCAGAAGGATTTGCCAGTCTGTTCATTCTTGATCACAAACACACCTATAATCTTAATAAGACAATGATGGTCAAAGCAGAGCCTGGTGGTGCATGCCTGTCATTCTAGCACCTAAAAGGCTGAGGCAGAAGGATTTCTGTGAGCTTGAAGCCAGACTTGCATACATAGAGAGACCCTGTCTCAAAACAAAAGCCCAATTCCTGACTTCCTAATGGACTCCTAACTGAGCCCCAGCACGTTACTCATTTAGGACACATGTATAGAACATTGCAATAATAGCAGAAGCAGGTTAAATTACTGTGCTTTAGGGCTGAAAGCTCAAGTGTACTTGCCTATCTTGACATTGGTTCAGTCTCCAGTACTGTGAAAAAAAAAGAAAGAAATCATTATGATTGTGGTGACCTTCCTGCTTTCACCTTTTGATAGCTAGGATTACAGGCATGCACCACCATGCCTGGCCCAAATATGGTGATTAGAGGTGGGCCTTTGAGATGTGGCTGAGATTAGCTTAGATCATCAGGTTCTAAGCTCTATAATTGAATACCAATGGCCATTTTTGACTGATTGATTGATTGATTGATTGATTGATTGACAGGGTTTCACTGTGTAGCCCTGGTTAGTGTGGGAACTTAGTATGTAGACCAGGCGGGCTTTGAACGCAGACATCCACCTGTCTCTGCCTCCTGATTGTTTTACCTTTGGAACAGGGTTTTGCTATGTAGATCAGACTGGTCCCAAACTTGGGGTGATCTTCCTGCTTCTGATCCCAAGTGCTAGGATCATAGACATCTACCTTCTCTGGTGGCTTCATCAGTGTTCCCTTGTCTCTCAATGATATAATGACCTGTGTCACTTCAGACTCTGCCAGAAATATCACCACCAAATATAATGTCTACCCCTTTGACAAAAAACACAAGACAAGATAGACATCTTTTCTTATACTTGACTCATCTGTGGTACTGTGTCATGAGCATTAGAAAGTGGGCTGATGCTCTTATAAGGTTATTAAAGTCTGTGAGGTAATAATTACATTGATAGGAACCGAACTTGGGTCCTCTGGAAGAACAGCAAATGTTCTTAACCGCTGAGCCATTTCTCACCCCCAGAAAGGATTTATTTAGTTCACAGTTGCACATTTTAGTCCACTACGACAGGGACACAGAAGGAGGAGCTTGAGGGAGCTGCTCACATTGCACCTGTGGTCAATGTGCATGCTGGTGCTCAGCTCCCCTTCTTCACTCTTCAGCAGTCCAAGGAGCCTCTATCTAGAGATTGGT